CACTGTGTAGGTTAGGTTACAGTTAGTTATACTGGGTGGGTTTATATTATTAAAGGGACACTCCAGGCTCCCACACACGTTAGATGCACTGTGTAGGTTAGGTTACAGTTAGTTATACTGGGTGGGTTTATATTATTAAAGGGACATTCCAGGCTCCCACACACGTTAGATGCACTGTGTAGGTTAGGTTACAGTTGTACTGGGTGGGTTTATATTATTAAAGGGACACTCCAGGCTCCCACACACATTAGATGCACTGTGTAGGTTAGGTTACAGTTATATTGGGTGGGTTTATATTATTAAATGGACACTCCAGGCTTCCACACACATTAGATGCACTGTGTAGGTTAGGTTACAGTTAGTTATACTGGGTGGGTTTATATTATTAATTGGACACTCCAGGCTCCCACACACGTTAGGTGCACTGTGTAGGTTAGGTTACAGTTAGTTATACTGGGTGGGTTTATATTATTAAATGGACACTCCAGGCTTCCACACACATTAGATGCACTGTGTAGGTTAGGTTACAGTTAGTTATACTGGGTGGGTTTATATTATTAAAGGGACACTCCAGGCTCCCACACACGTTAGGTGCACTGTGTAGGTTAGGTTACAGTTAGTTATACTGGGTGGGTTTATATTATTAAAGGGACACTCCAGGCTCCCACACACGTTAGATGCACTGTGTAGGTTAGGTTATAGTTAGTTATACTGGGTGGGTTTATATTATTAAAGGGACACTCCAGGCTCCCACACACGTTAGGTGCACTGTGTAGGTTAGGTTACAGTTAGTTATACTGGGTGGGTTTATATTATTAAAGGGACACTCCAGGCTCCCACACACGTTAGGTGCACTGTGTAGGTTGGGTTACAGTTGATTATACTGGGTGGGTTTATATTATTAAAGGGACACTCCAGGCTCCCACACACGTTAGGTGCACTGTGTAGATTAGGTTACAGTTATACTGGGTGGGTTTATATTATTAAAGGGACACTCCAGGCTCCCACACACGTTAGAGGCACTGTGTAGATTAGGTTACAGTTAGTTATACCGAGTGGGTTTATATTATTAAAGGGACACTTCTCCCTCGCGCGCTGTCTATGATGCCAGGAGCTGAAATATGATGTAATTCTGACCCCAGCATACTAAACAGTGCGCAGGAGGAGTGAAAAGCTGCCCCACACTGGACCCCAGGGAGAGGACCAGCTCTCACAAAGGTAGGAAGGCTTGATGGGCCTCAAAAAATAAAATTGTCAGTGTGTGTGTGTGTGTTTGCTTGTCAGTGAGTGTGTGTGTATATCTGTCAGTGAGTGAGTGTGTCTGTCAGGGTGTGTGTGTATATATATGTATATATATATATATATATATATATATGTGTGTGTGTGTTAGCTTGTAAGTGACATTGTGTATATGTATGTGTGTGTACAGTATGTGTGTGTCAGTGAGTGTAGGTGACCATGTAAATAGATCATTAGATATTATATTTATAATATATATTGATAACATAGTTATCACTTCACCGCTCTAGTCTAACTACCGCAAAATTCATATTGTATATAAGAATTTTGCTAATTACCTTAGGCCTGAATCCTACACTCTTTTTAGAACATTCATTCCGGGTGGGGGCAGCATCCATTACTTCTAGTAAAAACATACAAGTCCATTTTAATAAGAAATTGAGGCGCTGGAAATCTTCAGGATACTGTTTCTATATTCCCCAAATGGAAATAGAACTCAGACAAGCTTTCCAAGGTTTAATGGAATAATTGTCCTTTGTTGTGTCTTGTTGATTTAATAAATTAAAGGTGGTCCTCGTTTTGCGACCTACCTGTTTTGCGATCTACCTGTTTTACGATGGCTCACACTTACGACCAGCTCTCTCGCGGTGTTGTAAGTGTGATCCGTCGTGGGAAATCAGAGGGATTCCCTGCTCCGTTGCGTTCGTCTATGTTCGGGGATATTTCTGCAAACATAGATTAGACGGATTCCCTGCTCTGTTGCGTTTGTCTATGTTCGGGGATATTTCTGCAAACATAGATTAGACGGATTCCCTGCTCTGTTGCGTTTGTCTATGTTCGGGGATATTTCTGCGAACATAGACGAATGCAACAGAGCAGGGAATCCGTCTAATCTATGTTAAGGGATATTTCCCAGAACATAGAAAAATGCAGCAGAGCATGGAATCCCTAAACTCCTCACTTACCGACCAATTTGTTCTCTGACCGAGTTTTAGGAATGGAACCCGGTAGGTAAATGAGGAGTACCTGTACATATCCTGCATCCATTTTTTGCCCTCTTTATTTTACAGGCCTACCAGTACATTCGTTTCGGCACACAGTAACCGACTATGTTACATTTATTATTCTATATTATGCTATTTATTTCCTACAGCTTACGTCCTTTTGTGTCCCGATCACAAATTTTAAGGCGGGATCCTGGAGTTGTGGGAGGAACTAGTTTTGACTATTTAAAGTACTCACCTCCTCTAGCCATTAACTGTATCTTGATCACGCGGCACATATCCCACCATCCACTCCCAATTTTCAGAACACTTCTGTGAACTAATTCACTAGGAAGGCCCTCTTTGTTTTTCGACACATCTCTTCCTGCTTACTTATATTCCCTATGTTATGTTTATTTCTTACGGCTTGCAGCCTTTTGTGTCTCGAATATAAATAAAAATATAATTATACTCTTTTGCTTTATATAAATAGGTATATATTTATAGCAAAAGTGTTTATCAAGCTGAATATAATAGAAATACAATTAAGCTATAATATCACATAAGTATGCACAGATTGCTTTGCTACAAAGAAATGCTCGTGCACTAAACGGTGATGAGCAAGGCATTTTCTGGATAATTTAGACTGGATCCTTGTGAAATGGTTTGTAAGTCAATGTAAGCAATCAGGAAAGGTTATTTTCCCCCAGCAGTACGGGGCTTTTATTACTTTTAATATATTGCTTTTCGATAGATTTTTAATACACTCTACATGTAAAGTATTAAATAATTGTTTAATCCAGCCTGCAGCGTGGCTTTACGTTTTATCTACATATAGACATGTGTGCTTTCAGTTTTACTGTCATACTGTATAAATGTGCCACCGTACTATATATGCTGCCAGGAACACACATCTTGCAGAGTGTTAATCGAACAGCCGAGAGCATCTCCTAAACATTATATAGTGTGGGATACAGAGTGTTAATCGAACAGCCGAGAGCATCTCCTAAACATTACAAAGTGTGGGATAATAAATCTGGAAAGGAAAATGGGAGCTTGTAAAAAGTATTCCTAATGTATCTGCAAAACTGTTGTAAATCCTGACCTGTCGTGTTTTTCTTTTCAGGTGTGGGAACCAGGAACTATTATAGAAAAATCGGCTATGAACTGGAAGGTCCTTACATGGTGAAGAAACTGGACTGAGTACAGACAAGAGCTATGCTAGACAAGCTGCTGTGGAATACTCACTCGACAACGTTTCCATGTAAAAAATCTGCCAAAAAGAATTAATTTAATCTGAGTGAGACAAGTCTTTCACTCGGCTATGGATTTTTGCAGCTAAGGAGTTAAAGTAACTTAATATTATAATATAACAAGGATCTGTTACATTGTGTTTTTGTGCTTGCTCTGAAATGTATAAAAATTATTCCTTTAATACAGGAATATTTAATAAGGTGAGTATTCTCTACAAATAAATAATATCAATTTAAATGACCCTTGTCTAATGGGGTATGGACACATTGGATTACGGGAGCTGTGTATATATTTAAATCATATTCTCGCAGAGTTTCTGAATGTCTGATCCATAAAGTTTGTTTCTGATGGGTACTTCTATATCCAACATGAGGTTTTATCTAAAATATCCACACTCCAAACAAGGTTTTTTGGGGAGGGGCTGTATTTTCTAAATTTGCAAATCGAATGGAACATATTAACCAAAATATAGCAAATTCTGGTAATTTTGCACTTTGGCTCTTACTGCATTCACAGAATTGTTTACGGATTATAACGTGGCTATTAAACTGTAAATGTTACAAATTACACCTTTTTAGATATTTTTGTTTTTGTCTTGAATAAAAAATATTTAGAATGTCTCCAAACATATGTTCATAATGCTTTTCTGTTGTAAATGATGATTAATAAATATGTATTTTTCACATACTGAAATGATTGTTTAAATACCCTAAACAACAACAGCAGCTTAATTGTAGAGGGTGGATTATCATTTTTGGGGTAATATGATTTTGTATGTAAAAAAACAAACCTAAAAAAAAAGTAAAAGTATGACGCTAAAATTAAATAAATAAATAACCTAATAATAAAAAGATGCTACACACAATGTGAAAAAACTCATAAAACACATATATTAATATAGAACAAAGTGTGCTGTGCCTTTAAGACAAGTGACTAAAAACACTATAAGTGGAATATAGTTAGCTTAAATAATAAGTGTATATAGGATTGGGCAAATTAATGTGCTCTATGTAATTTGAATCCAAGTGCACCGTGCAAAAACATTCAGTGCAAAATATAGTGCGATCACAATTGTGCAACTATTCATGTAATACTATACTCACATATACAATATGCTTAAAGTAGGTATGCTTTTTCATAATGTATGTGAATCACATGTAATATTTAGAATGGGCAAATATGTTGCAGAAAATTTCAGGGGGGGCGTGGCCGACCAGACATGAAGTAGGTCGCATACCTCTGAGGCCTCACCAAAGCGGCCGGCAGGTCCCATGGATGAATATCTACCCCCGACGGCTTCAGATCCACGCAACATCCCGACAAAATGGCGCAAGGCTCACCAGGAGCCGACAGCATGGCTGAATCAGCGACAGGATCAGCCCACATGGACTCCCTCACACAGATCTCAGCCGAACTACCTGCAATCTCTTTCAATATGCTAACCAGGACAGACAAAGCAGCCCTGATGAAGGAGCTGTGCTCAGTAATACGGGAGGAGATACAAGAGGTGCGGGGAGGGATCTCATGGCCCTGGAGGAGCGTGTCACCGAGTTGGAGGCAGACGGTCTACAGGCCTCGCAACACGCCAGAGCCGCAGACAACGCCACATCCCGGCAAGGCTCAGTCCTCCTGGACCTGCGACGACAGGTGGAGGACTTAGACAATTGCGGCAGATGGAATAATATCCATGTAAGGGGCTTGCCTGAGGAAGCGGGTGAAGAACTTACCACCATCCTTACGCGCCTTTTCACGCAGATTCTGGGAGATGGTGTCCCTACCAACTACAACATCGAAATGGCATATAGAGCACTCCGGACCCCCAGAAATGACGGAATCACTAGGGACATCGTCTGCTGCCTGTCCTCCTTCCGCCTGAAAGAAGCGATCATGCGGGCAGCGCAACCTCAAAATGTCACATTCCTGGAGGCGCAGGTCGCCCTGTTCCAGAACTTCTACCTGCTGACGCTTGAAGCCCGCCGAGCACTGAGGCCGCTCACCCGGCTGCTCCAGGACAAGGGGTTCCAATATAAATGGGGATACCCTTTCAGCCTCCAAGCACGGAAAGCCAACATATGGCATATCCTGAGATGGACGAACGACACACCCGGATTCCTGCGGGGCCCTTGGCCTACCAGCAGTTGCAGTACACAACTGGATCCTGCAGGACCTGCCGCAACACCCCGCAGAGGATACCGGACCACACTCCAACGAACGACAGGGGGGATCGTCCCCAGAGGAGAGGAGGACCTGACGGCCCTGAAGAATAAAGACTTTACAGCGCCCTGGGAGCCGAAGGAACCCGACCCACGAGGTGCTTCCCACTGGGCCCAGTTCCCCACCCGGCACAGCTCTGGACTCTGACATGGCATCACTACTGGGGGTATGTATGAAACACTTATGGCAAAGTCGATGCCCCCCGGGCCGGCACACTGCACAACACGGGGCCTCATCACCGGGAGACGGGTACCACCGGAGAGATGAAGTGGGAGGGGGCAGGGGAGGGCGGGGGTAGACCCGGGGTACACCTTAACGCATACGACCCCTGCAGTACGGGACGACTGAAGGAGGGGGACAACACTTGAGACACAGTAGCACCAGCACCTTTAGATGCCACCATACCTAGGAGCTCCCCTTTTAGGGCCCCCTAATGACGAGGACCCAGTGACCTATTGCACGACAAGGAGGGAGCGGACCAGGGGATGGCGCCAGTGGAGGGTAACTTTTAAACACGAATGCTTTTCACGGGTTCTCAGGGCACAATCCAAAGGTCTTTCTTAAATGGTTACTAAAGTTGAAGTGTTTATATCCAGTATAACAAGTAATAACAGTATTACTTGTTATGTTAAACTGTCATAGTTGCACGATATTTATGTGAATGATAGCTCTGTGAGCCACCCACTATGGGATTGGCGCCGAACGACCCAGGCTCTCCCGGAAACAGGAATGCTGAGCAGCTAACCTGAGCCGAGCACTGGAGTGAGCCTCACCACTCCAGACTTTAACTCCTACACCAAGACACCACGACCCCGCGCGACAGACCCACCCTGTAAATTAGATCGGCCCCGGGGGCCCGCCTGACCCAGACGGGACATATACATCCCTGGAACCACTGACCGATCCAAGGTCATAGTCGCCTAACCTTAACGGATAACCCCCCTCCCCACCTTGCACACCCACGGTACTACACAGACACTTGCTGACAGATGACTACCTTCCCCGACTCACCTACTCTCCCTACCTTTCATTCCCCCACCCAGCCTCCCAAATTCCTACACCCTCCCTCTTCCCCCCCCATTCCCCATAACTCCCCCCCCCATTCCCCGTAACACAAGTATGCCACAGGGGTTCCTACCCGAAACCTTAAAAAATTTGGTCCAACAACACCAGAGGCCTCAACATCCCAGAAAAGCGGAAACAGCTTCTGCGGACGCTGTGGTCCCTCTGGGTGTCCATGGCGTTCCTGCAGGAGACCCACTTCGTGGAGGGGAATGCCCCCGCGCTAGGAGACAGAAGATACGCTCAAGGGTACTTCGCAGACCACGCGAGCGCTAAGCGCTCGGGGTCGCGATTCTTTTTGCACAGACAGTCCCATTTAACTGCATGGCCACTGGTAGATCCACTTGGGAGATGCCTCTTTGTGAAGGGCACCATAGCGGACCGCCCGTACATGGTGGCCAACGTGTACAGCCCTAATAGAGGCCAGCACACATTCTTAACCCGAACACTATCCCGCCTCAAAGTTCAGAGATGGCCTACTGATACTCACAGGAGACCTAAACCTGCCTCTGGACCCGCGAATTGACTCCACACATGGCTCCTGCACCATCCCGGACCACTGCATATGCAAAGCCAAACAATCACTGAGTAGACTGGTATTGGTCGACTGCTGGCGGGTGGCACACCCTGATGGCAGGGACTATACCTGTTACTCGGCCGCACACAATCAATATAGCAGGATCGACTATGTCTTTGCCGCACAAGAATACCTCCCCCTACTCATCTCCACGGACATAGGGATCCACAGGGACTCCGACCATGCCCCGATCTCTATCCAGATGAAATCACCCCTTTTGGAAGCTTAACAAAACAGTCCTAACAGATGCCAAATGCATGACACTGACCACAAAGGCCCTCAGCCAGTACTTCAAATCCAACACCACCCCTGAAGTGGCCCCGCTGATAGCTTGGGAAGCACACAAATGTGTAATCAGAGGGCACTACATTAAATACTGCAAACAGCGCAAACGTGAAAATATGAAACATGTCTTAGACCCGACCAAGCAAATAGCAGACTTAGAAACTACACATAAAAGGAAACTATCGGACGATGTACACCTTCAATTAACCGACACACGGAGGCAACTCAGAGACCTTCTCAATGTGCTTTGCAGTCAAGTCAGTATTTTTATGAATACTCGAACAAGTGCGGGAGGTTACTAGCCCGGACCCTGCAACAACGGAGGAGACTCAACCACATACATAAAATCAACAATCAGAGCCAAAAGGAAACCCGAATGCCGGCCGAGATCATGTAGGCGTTCAGGGACTACTATACCGGCCTCTCTAATCTGGCTGACACGCCCAGTGCTATCAACCCGACACAACACAGACGCAAACCTCGAAAACTTCCTAAACAGGAACATCGCAGGAAAGCTTGCCCCGGAGAAGGCAGCAGACTACGAACAACCCATCACCATCGAAGAGCTGTCCGCAGCACTCAAACTGACCAAACCCAACAAGGCACCAGGCCCAGACGGCTACCCCGCAAGCTATCTGCGCACATTCAAAGACATCCTGCTACCGCATTTACTGGAGGGATTGAACTCCATACTAGATGGACGGCAGTTCCCAGCGGACACGTTAAGGGCCGTAGTGACGGTCCTGCCAAAAGAGGTGAAGGACCCGACCAGTTGTGCGAACTATCGCCCAATATCCCTCCTTAATGTTGACCTCAAACTGTTTGCAAAAGTCATGGCACTCCGTGTCTCTAGGTTCCAGCCCGATCTGATACACCCGGACCAGGTGGGCTTCGTGCCAGGCAGGGAGGCACGAGAAAATACCATCCAAACCCTCAACATCATCCACTCGGCAAAAAGACGGGGCAGAGAACTTGCCCTCCTGTCCACGGACGTGGAGAAGGCCTTTGATCGAGTGGACTGGACATACCTCACGACCACACTACAACACATGGGTTTTGGACCTAACGCCCAGACCTGGATCTCCTCCCTATACACGATACCATCGGCACAAATTCGACTTAATGGCGCCCTCTCAGACTCGTTCCCAATACGGAATGGTACGAGGCAGGGTTGCCCCCTCTCTCCGTGGCTGTTCGCCCTCTCGTTGGAACCTCTCCTGGAGGCGGTTAGGACGGATGGGGGGATTGCCGGGCACACGGAACATCGAGTCGCAGCATATGCGGACGACATGCTCTTCTTCATTGAATGGCTGCTAACTACCATCCCGAACCTGCTAAACCTCTTCCGAGGATACGGGAGGGTGTCAAACCTAAAACTCAATGCGGAAAAGTCAGAGATCATCAACATCTCGATCCCCCCAAGACTGGACACGCATCTACGATCCCAATTCTGATTCAAAAGGTGTGAAGCCAAATTAAAATATCTCAGCATCTGGTTGACCAGGGACTTGTCGCAACTCTACCAGGCGAATTTTCTCCCCATCCTCACCTCCCTGCAGGCGGATATGCAAAAATGGACAGACCTTTTACATTTCTTGGTTCGGACGCATTAATGCGATCAAAATGAATATCCTCCCTCGCCTCCTATACCTCTTCCAGGCGGTGCCGATCACTCTCCCGAAAACGTCCTTCCAAATCATCACCACAACCATACGGAAATTCGTGTGGAGGAGAGGAGCCCCACGGGTAAGCAAACAACAACTCGAACAACCCAAGCTACGAGGAGGAACTGGACTACCCTCGATCATAGGCTACTACCGAGCAACGCATCTACTAAGAGTCACTGTCTGGCACGTACGGATGATGGAGAAGCTATAGATGGAGGCCGAAATCACACAGGTCGGAGGACTCTGGAGGAAGGGCGCACCACTCAGCTCGCTCAAAACTGGTAACCGCCTGATAGACGCTGAAGATATATCCGCAGCAGCTGACCACCCACACCAGCCTGCTCACGCCCATAGTCTAGGAGGAGGTTTGATGCCAGCTGACCTATGAAACTTCACGAGATCAGACTGGATATACATGCGCCAATGGTGCGACAACGGAGCCCTAAAGACCTCGACAGAGCTGCTCCCCGACACCACACCAACAGCCCTCAACCAGCTCCCTTATCTCCAAGTCAAGTCATTATTCCACCACGATAACTAAACAACAATACCACCGGGACCTCACCAGCTTTGAGAAGATACGCACAACCATTCGACATATGGAGAAAGGGATATCGACTCTATACGCACGACTACTGGAGGGATAGACGGGACCAACCCTGAAGTTCATCACCAGATGGGAGAGGGAAACGGGCGAGACACTGACCACTCGAGTGGGACAAAATATTCCTGCTCACCCACAAAAGCTCCATCTGCTCGAAGTTCCAGGAGATGAGCTACAAAGTACTAATGTCCTGGTACAGGACCCCAGATATCCTAAACCCAAACATAGAGGACACTTGCTGGCGATGCGGACAAGAAAGAGGCACTATGATCCACATCTGGTGGGAGATGGTCAACACGAAAATCAGGGAAATTGCGGACCTGGAACTACCTTTCCAACCCCTGCCCATGCTACTGCACCACACAAGCATGGCCCTGAAAACGTATAAGAAGTCCCTGACAAAACATTTACTGACTGCAGCAAAAAACCTGATACCCACACTGTGGAAAAGGACGGCGGCTTCCAACATTGGGTAGACAGGGTAGGGGAAATACGGGCAATGGAGGCAATGACCGCAGCCATGCAGGGCCGAACCGAACAGTGCAACCATACATGGACCCCATGGCTCTTGTACACATCGGCTGACAGACCAGCCTGCTGAAACCCACATCCCAGACCCGCCCTTACCTCCCACAGCTGCTACCCGCTGCCCTCCCCCACCTACCCTTCTCATGAGCCTTGCCAACCACCGTACCCCGACTTTCCTCTAACAGGACTGGACTACACATTAGTCTCAACGGGACCACACCCAAACAAGGACACAAATAGCAGGAGTAACAACCACAACCGTCTCGTTCAAAGACAAGATGAAGTGCATAGACCACCTAGACAGCTATAGTTTCAAAGCTCAAGACTACACGACTGCCGAGGCCCCAGCTAGGGATAGGATTGAACTAGCCCTACAGGGACCTCTCCTAAATAGGTACGGGCGAGAACACACAGACAACTTCAC